TGGTTTATTAAAACACACAAAAAAAGTTTACTCAAAACACACCTATAACTCATTAGGAAAATAAACTCAACCCTTTTAGACCATGCGACATGGTGCAAAGCGGATTTTCCCGTCCTTATATTAGAAAATATAGATTATGACACAATGTGAATGCGTTTGTGACCTGCGCTTTCCGTTTTGTGCATGGACTGTCAAAATAGAGCCCCATGTCTTTTTGATATCATGCGTTTCAGCAACAAGACCATTGATACAACCATTGCCTAGTAACATTCAAAAAAATATGCAGTGCACTGCTCTTTACTAATGTCAACAAAAAGGCATTGTGGTGCATCTCATGATGTTTTTTATTGTATGTAATTTCATCATCGATATCGCAATGTGATCCAAGTGTATCCATCGAAGTATAAGCAATTTAATGGACTAAAATATTTTGAGGCTTATGGCTTATTTGCGAGTGATGTACGAAGAACGGACCACAGGGCTAAGTTTTGTTTATCTGTTTTAGTAAGAATTACGACATGTTTTCCTCGTCTTGTCAAGCCGTGCTTGACCTCTGCTTTGTTTTGTTGTTTACGTAGTTGCCGTCTGCACCGATCTCTTTGCCTGCGACCCGACTACTCTGTTTGCCTTACCTGTATGTACCTGATTGCTCCTGGCTGACCATTGCCTGCCTCACTATTTCCTAATAAAACCTGCACATGGATCCCCACTCCACCGTCCCTCACATAACATTATTAGTCAGTTACTGTGCCTGAATAAAATTATACTCTGAAAACAAACAAACAAACAAAAAAAAAAATGTTTATTTAAATTGTTTCTTTTTCATTATTACATTTATCTAAGCTTAGATTGTTTAGATTGCATGCAGGTGCACTCCCCAACAGAATCATTCCATTCAATCTAACTGTATTAATTTAATAACAGAAACAAAAAAATTCAAGTCATCTGTTAAAATTGTATTCATATCACAGAATAACAAAATATCACAATATTAGACTATTTCCAGTGTTGTGCAGCCGTATAATTTGGACAAACATTATTTGTCTTCAGCTCGAAAGTGCACAAGCCTCTGGGTTTCCTCAGGCATCACTGTTAAATCTGATATCATGTAAAACTGCTCCATATTCACACAGTGCTCATATATTAATGGAGGTAACCACAAGGAATCAATATTATACCAAATGTGCTGTAAAAAAGCTTTTTCACTGCCACTAAACTTGACTGAAATCTAGACTGGCCTATTTTGTCAATTTATCACGTAAGGTTATCAGAATTTCAAATCTAAGTATAATAGTGCAATATTTTGCAGCCCTTATTTTAAGGGACAATCATTATCAAAATTGTTAGCCATTTTTTTCCAAACAAATTTTTGAAAATCATGACCATAACACATTAACATTATGAAATGAAAAATCATATGCTTGTTTGTAATAAAAATCCCTATTGATGAAGTTTTATTTTTGTGGGTCTCACTTTTGCAGCCCTGTTCCTTTTCATGGAAATTTTCCATACCTCTTTTTAGTGTGGTCCTAAGAAATCTCATTTCAAGGGCTATATGGCCCTTCGCCTTACCCCTAAGCTCTCAAGCAACAGAGAATTGGGACACAAACGTGACTGAGGGGTATAGTTAAGTAGAAGGGTTAAAAGGTAAACTTGGGATTGGGCCTTAGTCGTAAAGCTATCTACACTGTAAAGCCCAAAAAGTTATTGTAACTTAAACCATTTAAGTTCAAAAACTAATCCTAAAGAATACTGTTAACAATCCTTTTGAGTAAACAAAGCAATTTGACCAAAGTAAAACCCAATAAATAAAGAAAACTCAAACCAACTGAGCACTGTAAAACTCAATAAGAAAAGGCACATTAAAACCATTTAAGAAATCCGACTGTTGCAAACAATTTGAGTAAATTAAAAAATAATAATAAAACTAATACGAGTACAGTGAACTTACTCCATTTAAGTTGAAGTAATGAGGTATTTAATTAACTCATTACCTTCAAAACCTTTTATAAAGGAGTAGAATTTAAATTTTGTAAACTTTGAGTTACCTAGACTCATTTTATTGACTGTTGAGTTTAGAGTGTTTATTATAATTCACATTTCACATTTAGGACATATAAGCAGCTTCCGTTTAAACACTTGTAGTGTGTAATTTCCAGCAAAATGAATCAGCAATTTATTTGTTTTTGAAACTGAAAATATTTCAGCTTTCATCAAATATTTTGACCAATCAAATGCTAGTATCTAACTTGTCCCACCCCTGTATAACTCTTTTCTTTTGCTTTTCAGTTAATGCAGAGCTGTGATTAAAAAAAAACGGTATTGTTTTTTTTTTTCTTTTCTTTTTTTTTATAAATAGGACGAGCTACTCGATACCGGTATTCATATTTCAGTTGTAATTGTCAAACACTGAATATAAATGGGCATTTCAAAGCACTTCACGGGGACTTTAAAGTGTATTTTTTTCCATAAAGGTCTGATGACATTTCCTCAAAAAAATAAAAAATAAATAAATAAATAAAATAAAATTATTCAGATCATTTTCTTTCCAGAAAATTAAACGTTATTTTTCCAGATGTTATTTTCTTAACTCTTCTGATCAAAACATTGGTATTGCATTGTCTAAAAAAGTATATAATCATGTCTGAAACATGGCATTCTTTATTTTTTGCAAAACTGCTTAAAACACAAACTTCAATTTTAAAATAGTAAGAAATACCATTAATAATTTACAAAAAAAAAAAAAAAAAAATGTTTTTCTCAAACTACATATCATGAATCCAGAAAAAAACAGGGAATTTTCAAGTGCTTTCTTAATTTTTTCCATAGCTCTACTTTGTGTGTAAATTACAAAAACTCGTTTGAGGTTGCAGGTTTCATTTTTGTATTTCGCCCCTTGCAATGACAAGGCTGTATGTTTATAAGTTGCATGAATAAAATAATCTGCCAAATGCATAAATGTAAACTGTTTGCAAATTACCCAACACATTTGCCTAAATGTTTAGTATATATCCAAAGCAGTGGCAGCAAAGTCATCCAATTTTGTAAATACTCTTGGCTTAATATTTCATCAGACTGCCAAGACGTGACAAAATTTGACTCAAAATAAGCTAAATAACCCTATTACTGTGACCGTTCATAAGTTTGGCATCAGTAGGATTCTAAATTATTTATTTATTTGTATTTAAGAAAAAAAATATATATATATTTTCCTGAGCAAATACACTTCAAATTGATGTAAAGTGGCAGTTTTCTTTTTTATTATCTGTCTTATAATATGTGATGTCAATAAATGAATGAATAAATAAATAAATGAATGGCAATATTTTCTGAGCATCATATTGGACAGCCCCATAGCTAGCCTGCTGAAAGGAGTGGTTATTTTTTTAATCAAAGTAGAAAGTTTTTGCCTTATTTTCTATTTAATTATGATATTTAAATGCTGAATTTTAGTGATATTTAAGCATTATTTTTTTAGCTGTATTTTCTTGACGGGTGGTCTTTTTTTCAAAGAAATATGAAAAAAAAAAGAAAAAAAATTAAATACAAATATTACAATATCAAGAAAAAAAATCTGTTAAAGTTTTAAAATAAAATCTGTAGCCTAATGCTATTTATTAGGCAAATAACAAATTGACCAGCATAAATTCCTCAGTCAGAATTTATTTGAATAATAGAAACCTTAAAACAACAACAACAACAACAACAACAACAACAACAACAACAACAACAACAACAACAGCAATAATAATAATAATAATAATAATAATAATAATAATAATAATAATAATAATAATAATAATAATAATAATAATAATAATGTGTCAGGATTTTCCTTTTTTTAAAAAACTGCATTTGAATATATTTAACAACATTAACCAAATTAGTATTTAAATTAACTTTTAAACAAGCCAGTTTTGGTGCTTCACACCTTTTTATTGGTCTTTTTTTTTTTTTTTAATTTAAGAATAAGGGTTAAGATTTAGAATTAAAGTTACTTGTAAAACTTTTTCTCTATTTAAAAACAATACAGTAGGTCAATATGAAAGATGACTTCTCTTACGTCAGATTGTGTGTTTTCTTGTTAGCTGGATGATAAAAAATAATTGTTTGCATTGCCCAAAACTGATTAGCTGGAGCCACGGCCAACAGAGGATTCGGCTTGGTCTTAAAGTCTTAATAGTCTTAAGTTTTAATGGGTTATTTTCACAATTTATGATTACATAGCAGTCAGGACAAATTAACTTATGAATAGGAAAAATTCTGGACCTTTGTCAGTGAAGAGTGGATCTTTCGAATAATCATATTATAATGATTTTTGAAGGATTACTTTGAAAATACAGATTTCATCCCAGGAATTAATTACATTATTTATATTTTATTCATATAAAAACATCTAATTTTAATAATAACCTTGCATAATACCTTTAACCACTAATATGGATTTTAAAAGTGTAACGGTGTACAATTTTGGAATAAATAAGTTACCAACAAGTACCTTTTTGTATTTAATGCCTTTTTTCTGAGTATGTTGGCGAGTACAATATATAAACAACTTATTTCAAACTTACTGAAAAAAAAAAAATTATAATCTTATCAAAACTACGTGTATCAAAACGTGTAAAAAAATATAATCCAGTGAAGTTATGCAAACATAGATCAGTTCACAACCCTTTGCATTGGATATGTAACTGGATATACATGCATTTAACTGGGCTGCTGTTGAATAATTTTAACATTAACTGACAGTAAACACCACTCACAGACCATGTTACTTCCATAATATACCCCAAAGCATTTTCGAGTGAAACATAAGAAAAAAAAAAAAAGCAAACAAACATGTTAAGTGCTTTTCTTCATCCAATTGTGATGGGTCTTAATGGATTTCAGAATGTGTGCTTGTGTATAATAGATGAATGTGCATTACTAAAGTAGAGCAAATGTTAGTTTGTTTTGTCAGTCTGTTGTGTTATAAGGAGTGGGATTTGCTATGGACTCACAGTCAAGTATCTTGCGTCCAAATCCACCTTCTTCTCCAGCTCCGACAGCAGCTCATTGTGGAAACATTTCAACTGCAAGCAAGCAAACAAAACAAATGCACAACATTATAAAAATTTTTTAAGAAGTCTTTTTAATAACCAGAGAACACAGATTTGAACAAAATAATATACTGGACAACATGGCAAGATACTGACAGCTTTAGTATAACCTTGTCCTAACTAGACATGACACTTCAGCACACAATAAAATATGTTTTCTTGTTTTTTTATTTCTGTATTGTCAGCAGTTTTTTTTTTTTAGTTTTTGTTTATTTATTTTTAATGCTGTGGCTGGATACACAACATAAAATCAATGGCAATGATAACCTTAAGTATCGGTTATGCTCTTAGTTTAGTGTTAAATGTAATAACAATACATTTTATTTATGATGCACTTTTCTTAAACTCAAAGTGCTACAAGATACACAATAACAAATTAAAACTGCAGAGAATGACTTGCATAAAATTTCTTCAACTCTGAAATCTGGACTTTACTAGAACTTAAGAAGCTTTAACACTATTTATATTGTAAAAGCACTATACAAATACAAACAAATTAAATTAAATTTAATAAAATAAAATCCCAGTAAGAAGCTAGAAATCAAACCACAATAACAATGCAGCACAATAAATAACTAAAATCTTACAAATTGCATAAAAGTGACAGTGATGAGCGCAAATCAAATGCTTTGCTAAAAAGATGTGTCTTAAGAAGCTTCTTAAACAGCATTCCTGACAATTTTGTGTATGCATGCATTCCATAACTTTGGAGCACAATAAGAAAAAAAAGTAAAAATGTAAAAACAAAGTAAAAATGCAGAACAAAGACAGCAAGTAGGATTAGAAAAAGTCAGCAGATCACAAAGGTAATCTGTAGCTAACCCATGAACTGCTTTGTAGGTTAAAATTAGAGTCTTAAAATCATTACGTGATGGAACAGGCCAATACATGAAAATGTAGCAACAATACAATGGACTTCTAATCTTGAAAAATAAATTAATGAAAACATAAATATTAAAGGCGAGAACACAATTTAATTCAACAAGTGTATTCTATGACAAAAATTTAAATTAATTATTTATCCATTCATTTTCTTTTAGGTTTAGTCCCTTTATTAATCTGGGGTCACCACAGCGGAATGAACTGCCAACTTATCCAGCATGTTTTATGCAGCGGATGCCCTTCCAGCTGCAACCCATCTCTGAGAAACATCCAAGCACACTCATTCACATTCATACACTACAGACAATTTAGCCCGTCCAATTCACCTGTACTGCATGTCTTTGGGCTGTGGAGGAAACTGGAGCACTCTAAGGAAATCCACGCGAATGCAGGAAGAACTTGCAAACTCCACACAGAAATGCCAACTGACCCAGCCAAGGCTTGAACCAGCGACCTTCTTGCTGTGGGGCAACACTATTACCTACTGCGCCACCGCAAACTACTTAAAATATGTTTCAATTAATTGGTCCCATTAATATCCAAATACACTTTATATACAATTTAAGTTTCTTTTTTTATGGTGGAAAACATTATTTGAATTATTAACATGGTTGAACTTTACACCAAGAATGCAATTTTAAATAGTATTTATTTATTTTATTTTATTCGAAATATTTTTATATATATAAAAATCAAGACAACGTATATTTTGTAAAGATGCATGAGTTAATTTTTAGTTAATAATATATAATAAATTATATATAATAAATAATTATAACCAATATATAACAAATAATACTTATTTTCAAGAGAACAAACTTTTTTTTGTTGCTTTAAGTTATTTTAATAATACAATCTGGTTTTACCTACATTTGTAAAGTTATACAAAGTGTAACTTAATATTTTAGTCAGTTTGATTGATATAAGTTGACATGACTAGATAATTTCATTATATTGAACATTATTTTTTTTACAGTGTAGGAGTCCATTTAGTTTGTACTTGTAATAATGTTAAAATGGTTCATACTTATGACGCCAATTGTAACTTCAGTGTGCCAGCCCTTCCACACTCTCTTCTGATGTGATTACATGTGCTTTAATTGATTTTGTCACATCTCCTAGCTGTGTCATCTCCCATGTGGACAGATTGTCATTGAGATCTGATTATACCATACAGTAGTAATGTTGATGAGCACAAACAATAATAACTCATGCATCTTTAAAAAGGGGCACTGAACTAACAAATCAACATTTCCCTTTATCTTGTGACACTTAAAAGGTTGATGTGCTAAAAGCATTCTGCGTTTTCGAGTTTCAAAAGTGAAAATGGTCTCATTTCTCAATCAGTTTATATTGAAGATAATCTGCCAAAACGACAGGTTACCAAATAAAGTCACTTTATTACATATTAGTGTCTAAACTCCAGAGATTACGATCAACTTCTCCCACTTCTACATCACTGCCTGTTTAGCTCTGCCCACTTATTCATGAACATAAAAGACAAATTATGAGCTGTAATGGCAAATTACATGTACAAATATTGGCAATCCATCCCAAAATAAGGAAAGAGAGGACAAACTCTATTTTAACCCTTTATTAGATAACGTCTTTGACACTGATTGCAATATGAACTGTTTTTAGTCCTAAAAGTTTAAAGGTCTTGTAATAAACCCCAGTGACATTACAGGGATGTTTCATTATTTTTTAATGAGTGCCCTATAAAGGGTTATGGAGAAATAAATTGATTCTCAGATCACAACATGTTATCATAGACTTGTTTACAAACTACGTAGAGTACAACATCATTGATGATTGTAAAATTGAATCATGTTTAGATAGTACTAGATCTGACAAAAATGGCTCATCACATAATTGAGTATCTACGTTTTTATAACATACACCTATTACTTTAATTATTATTTTACTGTTTTGGAATGCGTGCTATGGTTTTGTTCAGGACTTTGGTCAGTGCCAAACTGAAGTTAAATGTTCTTTATAAATAAACTGTTCTTACTTTACTTAACTACCTATATTTCTAATCAACTAGTTAACAACATTGAAAAAAATATAGCCCTCCTTTTAAACAATGGTTGAAAGAATTGTCTCATTGCTTGGCATTGCAAAATATACTTTATATGCTTATATTTTAAGAGAAAACTTAAAACTTTTTTCAAAATATGGAATTCGTTTTGTAGGATTTCTGAAGAAAGCTGATACGAATCTGTCCATATAACATGCATATTGTATCACCTGCTATTAATATACAATTGTTTTGAAAACTTTATAATGAATGTGTTGTACATGTATTTATTTAATTAGTAATTGTAATTTTTATTGTGATTATTTTTATTTGATTGTTATATTTTTGTGTGTTGTTTAGTTTTTTATTACATGTTACCTAAAAAACAATAAAGACAGTTGAAAAAAAAAATGATTTGTTAATGTTGAAATCGCACCTATGATGAAACATCATCTTTTGGGAGGTGTTTGGACAGAACTGTGTGTAGGTATAGTTTGTCCACAGTCAAATTTTGGTGATAGGGTCCTGATCTCTCCCATTTGAGGCCCACCGCAATGGGATGTAGGAGTGTGGTTTCCATGCTCACTGAACTGGTTGACAGTCACATATTAACATCACTTTATAGTAGCATGTATAATTATATCCACAAGAAGACAGGACGTGTGCAAAGGAACTGGGATTAAAAGATCTGAGTACTCTCTGTGATCAATCATAATCAAATGTTACCAAGAATGAGTTTTAAACGCATGCGCCGCACGCTGTGTGTGCATGAACTGTGTACCACCATTGTGTGTGACTCATCATTGCAGAATGGCTTGAATTAAATACATAACAAATACATCAAATAATAATAATTGGTAAAGTTCTGTAGTACTTCTCACAAACATTACGTGATATCTGCTTAAATCATGTCTGTCACTTTGCTGTTTATCTGACACAGCCAAAGATTGAAGCACACTGACAGGCACGTGGGAATGGTAGGCAGGGAGAACTAGCATTAAAGGCACACAATTTGAATATTCTGAAAGGTATCATAAATAACCTGATGAGTGTTTTGAGCTGAAAATTTACAGACACACTCTGGAGACACAAAAGACTCGTATTAAATCTTGAAAATATGGGTAAAATAGGTGCTTTTTAAATGTGCCAAATTGTCACCCAATCATACAAGTAGGTGCTTAATTCAGAGTCCACAGTCCATCACACCTATTCAAACTGTGTTCTAATGAGGGTGGTCAAAAGGACAGAAAAGAGTCTATTACTGCGAAATTAGGATGATTTTGTGTGTAAAAATCTTTGATAGCATTTTGAGTGGACCTCAGAGAACGGCAAAAAATATTTAAAAAGACAGTTCATGACCCCTTTAAAGACGACGTTGTTGCTAATTGCAAGTACACTGAACTAAACTTGGCCTCCAAGAGCATGAGGGTAGAAGATTGTGGTTTTATTAAGCAGTTACATTAATTATTCAACGGAAATGTGTTTATTATTTGAGCAGAATTTTCTATGCAACTCACATGGGTGCAGCTGGAAGTAAACAGAGCTTTACAACTCGGTAGACTAGATTTGACTCATCTTTAATAAGAGAACATGTAAAGAAAACCCATTGAAATCTAATTCATTTTAAATTGATCCTTTTATAAAGAGGCAAAATGTAGGATGTTAAAGCAAAATACACACCATATCCTCTAACTGCACTTGAATCTGCCGGTGAACCTCGGCCATCTGGAAAAGCACGTCCCCTGCGGAGAAGAAGGACACACGTCAGTTAAAACAGAGGATAACAGGAAATGACCTCATGATCATGTGACTCAAAGGAACAAATGTAAGTGCGGCTAAAGAGAGAGATCGAGTGTGTATGGAGCAGGAAAGAGAAAGTAGAAAAGAGGACAGAGAAATCCCAACGTGCATTACAACCATGCCATCTCACTGAACACACACACACACCACAGGGCAAACACAGACAATGACACACTCAAAGACATTAAACACTGAAATGAACAGTGGAATGAATGGATGGAAAATAAACTCACTGAGATGATGAGCAAAAAACGCAAAACATTGCAAACAGGGTTAAAATACTGCAGTGTGTTAAGATAGATTTCACTGAGAAAAATTGAAGTTTCGTCATTATTTTGAGTTAATCATACGCCATTATGTGTCTGTGGAAAGAGATCATATGACTTTTAATTAGAGCTAGGCTCTGAAAATGATATTATGTGAGCAGATAAAGTTATTTGATAGCATTTTCACTCAACAAACTGATGAAATGTGTTTGCTGATGAAATGTTTTACTTATTATTTATGCTTGATTTGTGCCACATGGACTGCTTATGCTTTTCTGTGAATCGTGCACAACAGAAGCGCAACTTTTTTTTTTTATTGTTTACATGCAAACTGGTTTAGAATGAATCACATGACTAGCTTATGAACTTGTGTTTATAGAAAATATAATTAAAAATTCCGTTATTGTGCATATACTCCACAGGAAACAGTAACTACATACAAGTTCAAATTAATTATGTATGATGATCATCACAAAATGATGACAAAACTAACATCGAGTAAGTTTTTCGATGTGCCTTTTAAAGTGCCCCTATCATCTTTTTACAGGTTACTCATTTAGTTTTGGCTCCGATTGGCCAGATGATTGGCCCTGTCTGTTGTGATTGGTCGACTGATCACACTACGTTTGAATTTAATGCTCATTACTGTTATCTGGATTTCAACTTTATCAGCATAGCAAGTATACAAACATTTAGGAAGGCCTCAGTTTTGCCATATCAATTTGAGCTTGAGGCTGCAGTTACCGTACACTAGTGTGTTTTTGTTTAAATAATTTCTTAGAATGAAAATTCTTCATCTTGCTTTTTAATTGCACTTAATAAACACCATCTCCAACCACAATATAGACCTTAAAATGCATGATCAGTGACTAATCAAGCCTAATGGGCATGTGCATATTTTGCCAGCATTCGTACTTTCTACCCACTGGTTGTGTAATGTACAGTTATCAAAAGTATCAACTTCTGTACTAATTTTTTAGAAACTAGCATTTCCTGCTAACGTTTGAGCACTTTCTGAAACACCGTTGATTGGTCGTTGCCTTCACATGCACAACAGATATGATGGTGATTGGATGTGAAGGTCATCAGTTTAATACTCTTCATCGATGTTCACAAAGTGCAAACAGATATGTAATGGCCAATCAGCAGTGTTTCAGAACACGCTCAACGGTGCTCAAATGTTAGTGTGAAATTACATACATTTTAATTTTAGGCCAACCAGTCCGATAGCTTCCGGGTGAAACTTTCCATTACAAAATCGCCACATTTAAGGTCTGTTTTTTTTTTTTTTTTTTTTTTAATAATTGATCTTCACAGCCTAATAGATATATATTGGGTTTCAGACGAGAAAAGAAGCAATGTAAAATTACATATTTCCCTGCGATCTCTTTAAAATACAAACATTTATTTTACCCCAGTATTTTCAATGGAGGGCGATGCAGTGGCGCAGTGGGTAGCATGTTCACCTCATACGTTGGTGGTTCATTCCGCTGTGGCAACCTCAGTTTAAAAAAGGGACTAACCCGAAAAAGAAAAAAAGAAAAAAAAAATGCTTTTTCAATGGAGTCTCTGCGCTCGCCTGCTGCCATTGACGGCACTAGTTTACTAGGTCTATCATCCCATTTAAAGCCTGAACAGCTAAATGAAAACTTAAGTTTATTTAACTGGTTGTGTTTTAATTACATTATGATGTCGATGCTGTAAAAGGAACCTTCAAAAGTAGTCACAGAAACCTTTCACAGGAAGTTTACCATGGCTGAAAAACTCTAGTTGTGCATATAGCCCTTTCGATACTTTTGACAACCCTTGTGTAATGGTCATATGAGAAGGATTTGGATAATTGCACATTGTCCACTGATTCATCAGACAATCAATCAGAGATTGACTGTGTATTACCACACCTTTGTTTTCAAAACTTAGCTTTTCAGCGTGTCTTTAATGAAACAGAACATTTCCACACTAAAACTACTACTGTCTTCAGTGTTTTTAAACACTAAATTTTCAGGTCAAAGCTGTCGAGGTATTGTATTGATGTAAGGTTTAATTATAAGAAAATGTATACATTTAAAAACAAAACTCACAAGTGCAAATGACACCGAACTCCTTATCAATGCTTGTAAAGTGGATTTGTTTTTTTTTTTATTAGAGAAAACAGCATCTTCTTGATTAGTGTGGGGTAAGTTACTTAAAAAAAAAAAAGTATTTTATTACTAATTACATAATAAAAAATTGTATTTGAGTTACTTTAATTACTATGCCTGAAAAGTAACTCGATTACTCAATAAGTAATTAGCCTACTTTACTCGATACTATTTGAAATTCCTATCTAGACAACTGAAATTAAACACTTATTAAAAACGTAACATTTAAACAATAATACATATTATATAGGTATAAGCAACCAAATAATCCCACCATTCTTTATATGTACCATATACTCTCGTTAATTTCTGGCTCTGTTTATTTTTTTTCATACACATGTGAAAACGTCTTGATAAATGTAACCTTAGTTATACTGAAATATAAATATAAAATATAAATACTCAGCAAAATATTTTTCTATTTTGTTGCTCTGCATCGCTGAAAAGATAATATAGAGCCATTTAATTTATTTGCACTATTTAAGGCCAGTACATTTTAAGTAACTGTAATTACATTACAAAAAAGAAAAGTAACTCCTTTATTTGAGGAAAAGTAATCTAATTACAGTAACTGATTACTTTGTAACTAATTACACCCAACACTGTTTTGACCACACAAAGCAGATCATTGGTTGTACAGCCAATAAAGACCAAAAACTGGTATTAAAGTGAGCATATTTGTTACAAACTTACAGTATAAAGGTTTGTCTTGAACATAAGACTGAAATTAAAGTACTGAGGACTTGGTAGGACTTCAGGTGGTTTAAAACCACTACACTTTGATCTTTCAATTTTGCATGACATAAAAAGCTAAAATGCTAAAAAGCATAACAGGGGCACTTTTTAACAAACACAAAACCTCTCTCCTAACATGACTGTAAATCAGAAACAAGCCTTCTCTCCAGTGTTTCTCCTGCAGGCTAACTGTTAGAAATCAATGCAAATAGTAAAGAAAACTAAGAAAAAAAAAATTAAAAAGAGGGAGGGAATAAACCAAAGTGAGCCCATGCAGCAGGTGGAAGTTTGTGTTGTTTTCTTATACCTACATGCTGCTGCTTCTGAATATGCAATGCATTGTGAAGAAAGGAACAGACAGTGAGCAGAGCACAGAGGAGACCCGGTGAGACACTGTGAAAAGAACACACAGCAATGGAGGACAACAGCGAAACCACCCTGAATTCAAGCATGATGATACAGAGAGTCTCAAAGCACAGGGGCAGAGCAGATTCATAACACTTCAAACTACTTAACAGACAGTCCAGTGGAAATACATGCGTCAGATCCCGGCACACTTGTTCAAAACATATATGAGATTGAAGAGCTTTAGCTAAAGTTGATAACTGGTTAAAGCAGACATCTGAGTTTGACATTAAGCCCGATTTCCATCCTAACTTGAAGCAAATCATATAGTTCGAAGAAAAAAACGACAAACAAACAAACAAAGCAGCAATTGTGATTAAGTTATGTTTCCATCAAGTTGTTGGAGTGACTTACTGGAGCATTGGTAGCCACTCACAGGCCACTTTATTAGGTACAACTGTGTGCTCGTTATTGCACATTTCTAATCAGCCCATCACATGGCAGCAACTCAATGCATTTAGACATGTAGAAACGGTCAAGATGATCTGCTGCAGTTTAAATCGGGCATCAGAATGGGGAAGAAATTTTTTTTAAGCGACTTTGACTGTGGCATAGTTGTTGGTGCCAGACGGGCTAATCTATTTCAGAAACTGCTGATTTAATGGGATTTTCTCGCACAACTATCGCCATGGTTTACAGAGAAGGATCAGAAAAGAAAAAAAATTGTATTGAGCGGCAGTTCTGTGGGCGCAAATTCCTTGCTGAAGCCAGAGGAGAAGGGCCAGACTGGTTCCAGCTGACAAGCAACAGAATTTCAAATAACCACTTGTTACAACCGAGGTATGCAGAAGAGCATCTCTAAATGTTCAAGTCAAACCTTGAGGCAGATGGGCTACAGCAGCCACTCCTGTCAGCTAAGAACAGGAAACTGAGGCTACAATTCGCACAGGCTAAATACTTTCAGCAAATCTGCAGCAACTGCATGATGCTATCATGTCCACATCAACCAAAATCTCTGAAGAATATTTCCAGTACTTTGTTGAATCTATGCCACAAGGGATTGAGGCAGTTCTAAAGGTAAAAGTGGTCAAACCAGGTACTAGTGAGGTTTACCTAATAAAGTGGCCAGTGAGTGTAGTAACCAATAGTAAACACAAGCAAACAAAAATGCATTTTATTACATTAAAAACGCATAGACCTCCTTAAAAAATTCTCCCTTAAAAATACTCCGTCATTTTGTGTCATATTTAGTAGACAAACATATTTAAAAACTGTTAAGGGACTATTATAATGTGTACGTTCATAATTACAACAACACAATATGTTTTTGTAACATTAGTAAAAAGACAGACAGGGAGTGTTTTCTCTTTCTGTGTTTTCTTTCAACATGACTGGAAAATGTGTAGTAAAAAAAACTCCAGCTGAATCTCCTCGAATATTTGCCTACATACCTGC